ATAGGTCCCATAGCGGTAATGCCGACACATACCGACTCATCGACCACGTCCAAATGGCTACAGATTCCTTGCTACAACAGGTCCCATCCGCAGAGATCGTGATCCTTGGCGATTTTAACGCCCACCACGCCGAATGGCTCGGTTCACGTTTAACCGATCATGCGGGGAGATCTGTTTATGACTTTGCCTTGGCATATGGTCTGACACAACTGGTTACATCGCCTACGCGGATTCCAGATGTTGAGGATCATACACCTTCCCTGTTGGACCTTCTGCTGACCTCTCATCCGGACGGATATCAGGTTTCCGTCGATGCCCCTCTTGGCTCTTCGGACCATTGTCTGATCCGGAGTGTGGTGCTACTCACGCTCCCCTCGCGGTTGCGTTCTGCAGGTTGCCGCCGTGTTTGGCATTACAGGTCCGCGGATTGGGACGGAATGCGGTCTTTCTTTGCTTCCTACCCATGGGGGCGGGTTTGCTTCTCGCCGGATGATCCCAGCGCTATTGCTGACTCTGTAACTGATGTGGTGCTACAGGGAATGGAACTATTTATTCCATCATCTGTGGCACCCATCGGAGGCAGATCTCAGCCTTGGTTTGGTCGCTCCTGTAAGACTGCATTACGCAGTAAGCAGGAGTGTTATCAAGCCTGGGCTGCGGCTTCGGTGACTCGGGATGTAAACACCAGCACACTCAAAAAGAAGTATAACTTCGCCTCCAGGTCCTTCAAAAGAGTTATTGCCAAGGCAAAGTCAGAGCACATAGGCAGAATTGGCGAGAAACTAGTTCGCCTTCCTTCGGGAACCCGTGCATTCTGGTCTCTCGCCAAGGCTGTCCAAGGGAATTTCTGTAAGCCATCACTACCATCTCTGCACAGGGAGGACGACTCACTGGCCCACGACGCAAAAGAGAAGGCCGACCTTTTAGGCTCCCTTTTTGCGTCCAACTCGACTGTTGATGACGGGGGGAACACACCGCCGACCATCCCGCGGTGTGAGTGCTCTATGCCGGATGTGCTATTCTCACAGCGCTCGGTTCGCAGAGCACTCCTCTCCCTTGACATCCACAAGTCGAGTGGGCCTGACGGAATCCCCCCAATTGTGCTGAGGACGTGTGCTCCGGAGTTGGCACCGGTTCTAACGCGTCTTTTCCGGTACTCCTACTCCCTAGGCATAGTCCCGAAATCATGGAAGACAGCTTTTGTCCACCCGATCCCTAAAAAAGGCGACCGCTCAGACCCGTCCAACTACAGGCCTATCGCCATCACCCCCTTGTTCTCCAAAATAATGGAATCCGTTGTAAACTGCCACCTCATGCGGTACCTTGAGGATCACCAGCTGATTAGTGACCGCCAGTACGGTTTTCGTCGGGGTCGATCAGCTGGTGATCTTCTGGTCTACTTAACTCATAGATGGGCGTTGGCAGTAGAGTCCAAGGGGGAGGCATTGGCCGTTAGTTTGAACATTGCGAAGGCCTTCGATCGGGTTTGGCACAAAGCGCTTCTTTCGAAGCTCCCTTCCTATGGGCTTCCCGAGAAATTATGCAATTGGATCACCAGCTTTCTTGCAGATCGGAGCATCAAGGTCGTTGTAGACGGTGCATGCTCCGACTACAAGCCTATTAACGCTGGTGTTCCACAAGGCTGCGTGCTATCACCAACGCTGTTTCTTCTGCATATCAATGATATGTTGCAAGCCGGTAGCATTCATTGCTATGCGGATGACAGCACTGGTGATGCTCTATACACCGGCCGTGCCAATATTTCTCTGGAAAACGTCACTGAGCACCGGAACAAACTTGTGTCTGAAGTCGAGTCTTTGCTGGACAAAGTCTCGGATTGGGGGCGACTAAATCTAGTCCAGTTTAATCCTCAGAAGACACAAGTTTGCGCGTTTACCGCTAAAAAGAACCCCTTTGTCGTATCCTCAGTTTCAAGGTACTCCCCTTGTTGCCTCAGCCAGTATCGGAATCCTCGGCGTCGACATATCGAGTAGCGTGCAGTTTCGTGGTCACTTGGAAGAGAAGGCCAAATTGGCCTCTAAAAAGCTTGGCGTGCTCAGCAGAGCGGGACAGTATTTCATGCCGGCTCAACGCCTGCAACTTTACAAGGCGCAGGTTCGACCTCACATAGAATACTGTTCCCATCTCTGCGCTGGGGCTCCCCAGTGCCAGCTTCTTCCACTTGACCGCATCCAGCACAGAGCGGCTCGAATCGTCGACGACCGAGTCCTTTCCGATCGGCTCGACTCATTGGCAATGCGAAGAGATGTTGCATCTCTTAGCATTTTCTTTCGCATTTACCATGGGGAGTGCTCTGAGGAATTGTTCAGATTAATCCCAGCCGCCAAATTTCACGAACGCACATCGCGGCAGAACTCCCGATACCATCCACACCATCTGGATGATTGGCGGTCCACCACTGTGCGATTTAGAAGATGTTTTCTTCCTCGCACAACTTCTTTGTGGAATAGTTTACCACCAGCGATTTTTCCGGACCGATACGACTTAGGGACCTTCAAGAAAAGAGCCTACTCCTTTTTAAAAGGCCGGCAACGCATCTGCAATTCCCCTGGTGTTGCGGTTGTTCATGGGCGGCGGTAGTCACTTACCATCAGGTGAGCCGCATGCTCGTTTGCCCCCTCTCCTATAAAAAAAAAATGGAAAAAATTGAGTATCGACCTGTCATTAAATTTTTGTTTTCGAAAGGCAATATGCCTACGCAAATCAAAGATGAGTTGAACTCTGTGTATGGGGACTCTGCACCATCATTTGCGTCAGTGAAATTTTGGACAGAGGAATTTAAGCGTGGCCGTGAGAGCTTAGGAGAAAAACTGCAACTACAGACGATAACATCGCTAAAGTTCACCAAATAGTGCTAGACGACCGTAAAGTGAGAGAGATAGCAGATGCTATGAAAATGTCCAAATAATGTGTTTGTCACATATTAAAAAGCATCAGAAAACTATCAGCGCGTTGGGTGCCGCGTTTGTTCATGTTAGAACAAAAACGTGCCCGTCATGCAAGTCACGTCGAACATTTCCAACTCTCTGTTGGCGCAGTTTAGGCACCATAAATCCGAATTTCGGCGCCGATTAATTGCTGTAGATGAAACTTGGATACACCATTATACTGCCGAAACAAAAATACAGTCAATACAGTAGACTGCAAAGGGAACCGGCCTCAAAAAAAAGCAAAAACTGTTTTTTTTTTGGGCTGGGAAAGTGATGGCGACTGTTTTTTGGGATAGTCATGAAGTTATCTTAATCGATTAACTTCAAAAAGGAAAAACCATTACAGGAGTAGTATACTACGCATCATTATTTGACAAACTGAAGGCAGATATTGCGGAAAAATTGCCACATTTGCAAAAAAAGAAAATCCTGTTTCACCATGACAACGCGCCGTCTCACACCTCTCACACACACCGTCTTTGCCATGGCGAAATTCCACGAATTACGATTTGAACTGCTTGGCCATTCGCCTTACTCACCAGATCTAGCCCCCAGTTACTGTTCTGTTTGTTCCTCTAAAAATTGCGCTCGGAGGACAGATTTTCGTCAATTAAGGTCGCAATCACATTTGTGAACAATTATTTTGCAGAGAAAAACGCCGAGTACTATTTGGACTGGTTAGAGAGATGGGAGCATCGCTGGGAGAAGTGTGTAGAATTACACGGGGACTATGTTTTTTTTTTATAGAAGAGGGGGCAAACGAGCATGCGGCTCACCTGATGGTAAGTGACTACCGTCGCCCATGAACAACTGCAACACCAGGGGAACCAGGGGAATTCCAGATGCGTCACCGGCCTTTTAAAAAGGAGTAGGCTCTTTTCTTTAAGGTCCTTAAGTCGTATCGCTCCGGAAAAATCGCTGATGGTAATCGATTCCACAAGAAAGTTGTGCGAGGAAGAAAACATCTTCTAAATCACACAGTGGAGGATCGCCAATCATCCAGATGGTGTGGATGGTATCGGGAGTTCTGCCGCGATGCCGCTATGTAGAAAACTAAAAATAAAATTTAAGAAAAAATGTCTTTTACCTTTGTTAGGTCGGAAACCTTTAAACCACCCACGTAATTGAATTGCTAACTTTTAATGGACTCAAGTTTTGTTTTTGTTTTCTCACAAAATATATCTTACTGACATTTTCCATAGTTGCTACCACTATGACACTTACAGGACAAAATGGGTATAAGATCAAAAATGTTTTTAGTTGTTTATTTATTCATTAATTACAGCCTATTATAACTCCACTGCTGAACTTTCACCTCCTCCATATATTTCCCCTCCAGCCAGCCTCCTTGGGTAAATACTTGCCATAGTTGCCACACTTGGCAGGTAGGTTTCGCAGGTTTATTCTAATTGATATCAGGAAGATGATGCTGGCCATCTCCCGTTTCAATTTTCCTCCATTGCCTCTTACGACTCGCACGGGATGATATGGGGTAGTGGCTTCTCGTACACCACCACTACACGGCGACATGGCTTTTTAGGTGTATGATCACCCGAGGCAAGTGTGACATAAATTAATTAAAACTATAATGGACATTAAAATATTTCTACTCTGCAAGGATTTAACATAGACAATTCAGTTTCATAACATCAATTATTAAGTGCTTGTTTGTTTGATCAAGCATTTTAGTATCTACAAGTAGCATTTTGTAATTTAAGGTAATTAAAACTAATTGAGGTGGAAGACTGTCACACTTACCCCATCAATAAGGCAAGTGTGACAGTACGCTTCTTTTTGTAGTTACTTTATCTGTGGTTTGAATGACGTCTGTCTATAAAATAGTTGAAGCTACCTGTCGGTTGACTATCAACGGCGTAAAAGTTCCTGCATTGTTCAATAGATGGAATTTAAAAAAAAAAAACGTGTTTATGTGGCATAATTTGCATTTGTTACACTTGCCCCACTGTCACACTTACCTCGGGTGACATGCACTAAGGTTGTCTTCCAATAAGTTGTAACCAAGTTATTTTACCATAATATTTGTTCTAGAAACCTGGAGCCATACGATCTAGAAGAGCAACTTTACAAGGAAATCCAAATGAAGAACCCCGACCTCGAACAAGACGATCTTAATAATTTACTCAAAGAGGTAACGACGAATAAGAGTTTCTGTTAACACTTGTTGCCGAATAAGTGGACAAGTAATTTCTTTTGGTCCAGTGCTTCATCTCATTTCTTACACACACGCAAATAATCACGCACACGTTTCATAAAGATACATTTATTATAAACTTACTTATAATAATGCTTATATACTACAGTTAAATAGATTATTTCCTGTATCATTGTTTAGGCATTAGTCTCTCACATTACTTTGAGTATATATTTGTTAAAAATCGAGATTCACATATCCTTAAAATATTGCATTTCTCAGGTATGCAGGTTTCCTCGTGATTTTTTCTATCACGTATTACGTGGTAAATTAGCACTGAAAATTGCAATTCACAATTTCATTTTTGCCGTCGGGATCGAACCCGCCTTACTATGGTTTTAAATTATTTTTTGTAAAATTCCGAGTCCGAGAGAGAAAGTGAAGTATTTTACGAGTAAATTTCTTTTTGTATAAAGTTAAACTTTAGTTTACTCATGTAAAAATATATTTCATTGTGTCTTACTATATATTATTAAATATGATATACATAGCGTCGCGCCTATGATCGCCGAGGGGTTGGCAGAGTACAAAGAGCAGTGAGCTATTTGGACTATGTTAAGCCAAAAAAGTATGGCTTTAGAGTTTTGAAAGTAATAATAGGTGCCTAATCCATCGCCTACGCAATCACAAACCCTTATCCTATTAGCTGCCATTTAAGAAATGCTAAGCGAGTAACACGGTTGACACATAAAGTCTAGGCAGATAAATGGGTTCTATAAATCCCGCACCAACACGGACAACACGGGAAAATAAATATCTATAATTATATCTAAATCACTACGTTTTAGCACAGAGTGGAGATTATTGTCAAAGAATTTTAAAATGTTGTATATATGTATGTATAAATAAACAAATGTTTACTGACAGATTGACCTAATGACCTTAATTGAATGATTTTGTATGATTTCAAAGGTTTCGTTTTTAATAGTCCTTGGAATTTGTGTCAAGACAAAAAGCATTTATTTTGAATTTTGTATGATGTTTTTTTTTATATAGAGTAAGGGTGACAAACGGACATAAAGTCCACCTGATGGTAAGTGGATGCTGTGGCCCATATACGTCTACATTTATCCTCAATTAAGAATCAATATGCAAGATGCGTTGTCCTTGTCACCCCTGAGGACTAAAATGGATTGCCACGTTTCCAGTAAAACGTTCTCTGATTCTCTACACTCACCATATATAACACAGCAACATTAAGCTGCTATTTACGTTGGCATTCTGTGAGATTGTGCTCCTACCCCGGTCGGTCCGACCCATTCGTGCTACAACCATGATACAGCTGCAGCGTGGCTCTACCACGCAAATGTAGTCAGTAAATAATAATAACAAAAATAATGTGCAGTCGAATGTGTAGTACAGCTTGCTTACTAAAGATACTTAGAAATTTAATGAATCACTGTTGAATTTCGACCGCTAGGCGACCACACTAATAAAATATAAATTAATCACCTTCATGTATGTCGTCAAATTCTTTCCAGAAACAAAAGCTGTCGTTCACATCAATTGTACAAGAGATCTTATCTAGGGAAGCATCGCAGCCTATACTGAACCTCAACAAGAGTAAGGAGCCCAGCCCGAAGGAGAGTTTGGAGGTACGCGATTTCTGAAGTGAAATTTCTCTATTGACGTAGTGGAGAAATTTAGTACGGTTTAAAAAATTAAAAATAAACGTCACGTTTTCTTGTCACGGTGTTTGTGTTCACCACAGGGGCTGCGCGAGTATACTATTATTTAACCTACTTATGTAAAATATAAAATAAAAGAAGAGTGATATGTCGTAAAGAAGTTTCACTTCGTATGTGTGTACACAATTTTTTTGTATGGTTAGAGTGACAAACGAGATTACAGGGCTTTACACCGGAGCCGTATAAGGCTAAGCGTCTACTAGGCTCGCCGAGCCGAGTCGATCGCAGAAAGTCGCCTCCTATATATATTTACAATGAAACTGCGTCCATTAGCGACGAGTCGCGGCGCCGAATTGAACCGACCGCGCGAATTGCTTGACAGGCCAATTTCTTCGCCGGTGCGATTCGATGCGCCTCATTCGACGCGGAGAAGTGGACGCGCGCCAGAGTATTTTTATTAATTTCTATTTAGTTTTCGTAAGAATCTTTTTGTTTAAATAAAAATGAATGAAGAAGTATTGATATCACTGGTCCAATAATATCCAGAATTGTTTAATCATGAACAACCACATTATCACGATTTGCCTGTTTGTGCGATTGTCATGGACGAGCTGTCCATGACGCAAAAACGACCTATTTTGATGAAGAATTTGCGATGAATGAACAATTTGATTCGATTCTTCAGAGATGGACGCACTAGGAATAAATGCGACTCGCTTCGATTCGACGCATTTTTGCTGTAGTCGACGCCAGGCTTAAACCGGAGAATTTCCGGAGATCATAAATTGGAATGGGATTTTTGGCAGGAACTTGACTGCCGGCGGAATGCTGCTCTTGTTTTATTAGGGCTCCGTAGTTACACAACAAGGAACTCTTTATAGTTTCGCCATGTCCGTCCGTCCATCCGTCCGTGGTTTTACTCAGAGATCCTAGGTGTAACAAATCTGTAATTTGCCATAGTTACAGATATTAATCATGCCTACAAAACTGTGGTGGGTACTTCCCATAGAAGTAAATGAAGGATGATTGTTTTTTTATCCGTCTATTCCGGGGTATCGTTGGATAGGTCTTTCAAAACACTGGGGGGTGTGGAACTACATCTTTTCGATTCAGGGGTCCGTTTGCGAAATATTTAGCTTTAAAGTGGTATTTTTCATTAGAGTCATGTGTGCAAACCCCCCCCCCCCCCCCCCCCCTCTACCAAGAAAAACTATAACAGCTAAGTAGAATTAATAAGTTAACGAGTAATAGTCGACCAACTTATAAAATACACTTGGATTAGTAACAATTTCGTTACAACTCCATAGAAAATGACCTAAAACTAAGTGCATTATAACGTTATGTTATTTTAAACTAAAAAATAAACATTTTATGGAAAAAACCGACTTATATTCATAACTAAACTTTACTTTTTCATTTGCGGGATAGGCAGGGAGGATCTTGCTTACTTACTTACTACTTTCACTTATTTTTTAATTGGTAGTTATTGTAGGCCTCGTTCAAAGTATTCATAGAATCACATAGCTTCATACAGTTTTATTCGTCACACTCTTAGTTTACGCGGGGTTTTTTATGCTGGTCTACCTTTCCGGGGATCCTGTTATGGAATACGGGTACGCGACCCCGGCTCCCCGAGCTACTGTTATTCTCATACCTTTCCTGCCGAGATAACAGTATCCTTACACCTATGCTCCTACCACCAAACTTCTTTTTCCTTTTCCCAAAATGGTAGCTTCCTCTACCAGCAATAGCATACCCAAAGAGGGTTGGTGTCAGGCAGGCGGCCGACTGTAAAACTTTTGCCAAATCCCATGCAGTAAATGAATAGTACGAGTTGTGGGACATATGACAGGGCTAGGGCGTACCCCGCAGGCGACGCGCAGGGGCAGCACCCGGCTCCTGTGGGAAGTGGGCAAGGGTTGTCGCACCTTACGGAGCGGGTGCGACGTAAGAGGCGAGCCCGGAGAGAGAAGAATGTCAGAGTGAGGTTTGCAAGCTGGAATATAGGTACGATGACTGGAAGAGGAAGAGAGTTAGCAGATGTTTTGAAACGACGAAGAGTGAATGTTGCCTGTTTGCAGGAAACAAAATGGAAGGGCAATAAAGCAAGAGAGATTGGGGAGGGATACAAGTTTTATTATTGTGGAAGTGATGGGAAGCGAAATGGAGTAGGAGTTGTGTTAGATAGTGGAATGAAAGAACGAGTGACAGATGTGAAAAGAGTAAATGACAGAATGATAGTTGTTAAATTAATGATTGAAAACAAAGTAGTGAATGTTGTAAGTGTGTACGCTCCGCAAACAGGCTGTGAAGAGAGTGTGAAAGAGAAGTTTTGGGAGGAATTTGATTGTATGATGATGGGAATACCTGAGCGTGAGGATGTTTATATGGGAGGAGATTTTAATGGACATGTAGGGAGAGTGAATGACGGGTATGAAAGAGTACACGGTGGATGGGGGTACGGAGTGCGGAACCGTGAGAGGGAAGTTGTTCTGCAAGCAGCATGTGCTTTCGACCTGGCTGTAGTAAACACGTGGTTCCAAAAACGAGATCAGCATCTTGTTACTTATAAAAGTGGCCACCACGCGACACAGATCGACTATCTTCTGATAAGACGGAACCAAATCAAGAGTGTAAAAAACTGCAAAGTGCTTCCAGGTGAAGACTTAGTATCCCAGCACCGAATCCTGCTGGCTGACATCTGCTTAACTGTTCGCCTCAACAAACATAAGGATCGTCCCCCACCCAAAATAAAGTGGCATTTGTTGCATAAGGAGGGGTATGCAAGTGAATTTAGAGAGCTAGTTGTAAACAAGATGATAGAGATGGGTGATATGGAAGGAATGAGTGTGAATGAGTGCTGGAAGGAAATGGCTGATTGTATCCGAAGTGTGGCAAGGAAGGTGTTAGGAGAAACAAAAGGGAAGCGTATGATAGATAAGGATGGGTGGTGGTGGAGTGAAAGTATTAGAGAAGTTTTGAGAGAAAAGAAAAATGCCTTTAAAGAATGGCAGAGCGTAGAAGACCAGAATGAATCCATAAAAGAAAGTAAGAGAGGGGCGTATAAAGAATGTAAGAAGAGAGCGAAGAAGGAAGTTGCTATTTGTAGGGCAGAGGCGCACGATAAATTATATCGGTCCCTTGAAAGCCCCGAAGGTCAAAAACGACTTTTTCAAATTGCAAGAGCGAGAGAAAGGAATGGAAGAGATGTTTCACATGTAAAATGTATAAAAGATGATTCTGGAAGGATTTTGACTGACGATGAAAGTATAAAGAAGCGATGGAAGGAGTATTTTGAGAAATTGATGAATGAGGAGAATGAATGGAATGGTATGCTTGAAAACCCACCAGTGAATATGGGCTTAGTGAGAGAAATTAGTGTGGAAGAAGTAAAAATGGCTGTTAGGAATATGAAGAATGGGAAGGCGGTCGGCCCAGATGGAATACCAGTAGAAGTGTGGAAGTTGCTGAGGGCGGATGGATGGAAGTGGTTGAGTTTATTTTTCGGTAAATTGTTGCAGGAAGAACAAATACCTGAGGAATGGTGCAGTAGTATACCGGTTCCCATTTTTAAAAACAAAGGAGACGTTCAAAACTGCAGCAGTTACCGGGGAATAAAGCTCATGTCACATACGATGAAAGTCTGGGAAAGAATAATAGAGAGAAGAATGAGAGAAGAGTGTGAGATAACACAAAACCAGTTCGGATTCATGCCCGGTCGAGGTACGACAGATGCCATTTTCGCATTACGCCAATTGTGCGAAAAGTACAAGCGCGTGCATAAAGATCTGCACATGGTTTTTGTCGACCTTGAAAAGGCGTACGATCGGGTTCCCCGTGAGGTCTTGTGGTGGGCGTTGAAGATGAAAGGTATGCCTGGGAAGTATGTGAGGTTGGTCCGTGCTATGTACAGAGCATCCCGTACATGTGTACGATCTGCCGCGGGAACTACGGGCAGTATCGATGTGGCGGTAGGGCTGCACCAAGGGTCGGCACTGAGCCCTTACCTCTTCCTACTGATTATGGACGCTTTGACGTCGGACCTGCAGGATGAGGCACCCTGGTGCATGCTCTTTGCCGATGACATCGTGCTTGTCGGGGAAGAAGGCATCGAGGTACAGAGCAGACTGACGGGGTGGCAACGGAGGCTGGAAAGTGTTGGATTGATGATCAGCAGATCCAAAACCGAATATCTGTGCTGTGATTTCGGCGGTCTTTCCAGTCCTGTACCCATGTCGTTGGATGGCGCTATACTGCCTATCTGCTCAGATGTCAAGTACCTCGGTTCCCTCATTCAAGGCGACGGCGGAATAGATAGAGCTGTGCAGCATAGGATTAACGCAGGGTGGATGAAATGGCGACAGGTCACAGCCACAACGTGCGATCCCCGAATGCCAATAAGGCTGAAGGGGAAAATTTACAAATCGATCATCAGACCTGTCGTCATGTATGGAAGTGAATGCTGGGCCGTCAAGAAGAAGGATGAAAATAGACTGCATGCGAATGAAATGAGAATGTTACGATGGATGTGTGGTGTGACAAGGATGGATAAGATAAGGAATGAGTATATAAGAGGAAGCCTGAAAGTAGCGCCAGTGGTAGAAAAGGTGAGAGGAAGCAGATTGGCATGGTTTGGGCATGTGATGCGGAGGAATAAAAGTCATGTCACAAAACGAGTGTTGAATATGAATGTGGAGGGACACACGGGCAGAGGAAGGCCGAATAAAAGATGGATCGATTGTGTGAAGAGTGATATGAGAATGAAAGGAGTAAGTATGGAAATGACGGCTGATAGAGAGGAATGGAACAAAAAGATTTACTGCGCCGACCCCAGATAATGGGAAATGGTTTAGAGAATGATGACTCTTAGTTTACGCGGGCGACCTCAGGATAATTTAGGACAATGGTTGTTTACGTGAAGGTTCGTTACAGTCATATATGTATATTTTAGGGTTGCACTGCCGAGTATATACAGGGTATTTTTGAAACGCCCCCGAAACCGAAGATAGACGACAGTACAAACTATACCTTTTTTTATATAGGATTAGGGTGACAAACGAGCACACAGTCCACCTGATGGTAAGTGGTTGCTGTGGCCCATAGACATCTACATCTATCTTCGATTAAGCATAAATGCAAATGCGTTGTCTAAGATGGAATGCCTCGTTTCCAGTGAAAAGGGTCTTCGGTTCTCTACACTCACCATACGAAACACAGCAGTGTTAAGCTGCTATTTTATTCTGGTATTCTGTGAGAGCGTGGTCCTACCCCAGTCGAGCCGACCCATTCGTGCTACAACCATTATATAGCTGCAGCATGGCTCTACCACGTATGAACCTTTGATGATAGGTGAAATATAAAATCGATCCTGATGAAAAAACATAATCTTTTCACAACGTTTTATTAGCGTTATTCATTCTCTAACATGTTAGTACAGCTAAATGAAACGATAATTTCATTAAAAAAAATCATGAAAATAATTAAACATAAAACCAACAGTGGAATTACTGAATTACAATCAGCTGACTAGGGGTCAATGTACGCCCGAACGAAAAATTCGCGCGGCCCATAGCTAGGGAGCCATACCACAATACCTAATAATTTACAACACTTGTCTAAATACCTAACTTATCTACTTAACATACTATTTTGGCTTGTCTCCACGTAGCCACTTTAATTCGAACTCACAGTTTAAATAACCCAAATAACTCGTTCGATTCCCCTAATGAAAAGAATACTTAAATGAAATGTAACCAAGGTTAGAGTCATGCGTTTTTATTCATCGTGTAGGTATGTTTATTATTAGATGTATCCAGTTATGTACCTATTCAGATCAGTTCAGTACTAAGTTACTTAAAAAAAATAGGTTTGAAACAGCTTACCACTCTAAATCCTCCGTGGTTACTGACGTCCAATCGTAGCACAGACATGGCACAGACGTAGCACAGCGAATGGATCTTCAGGCCGCCGCTGCGACCGCGGTGGTGTGTCATTGCAGCGGCTGAAGCCGCGGCTCGCGTTACCGCAAGCCGCTTGTGTGTGGGAGACGCTTTAGGTAACAAAACAAGAAACTTAAAACGTAACAACAAGAATAATATCATTAAGTAATAACGACAATAATTTAATAAACAAAACAATTGAACTGTCTCTTTGTGATAGTCAACACGGAACTGTCTCAAAAACTAAAATTATTAATCAAAGTCGCTAAAACAAATGCGCACAATGTAAAGTCCTTGAAGCACTGGAATCTTCCACACACCGTTAAAGCGTTATGTATGTTAAGACATCGCCAACGTTTAATTAATTTTAAAGTTTTATCCCTACGACTAGTCTTCATATGTAATTTAAAAGTTATGGTTGTCATTTTTAATACAATTACACAATCAAAGACCTGCTTGTTGCGTCAGGGTACGCAACAAGCAGGTCTTTACTACAAAAAATTATTGTAATTAATAAACGTACCTAATTGGGTGCTCAGTACTCACTCAATTATAAACACTATTTCATCGTTATCTTTGATTTTGTATAAGAAAATAGAAATGAAAAATTAAACTAAAAATGAAACTTCGTAACACCAATTTGATCGATAAATCGCTCAGTGCCCAGGTTCAAGGCCAGCGTTTTACGTGACGGGACCTATAAGAGTTCGGCGCCCGCTAGGATATTGACCCTATTGTCAGCTGATGTTATTTGTAAGTTTCACTGCTGGTTTTTTGTTTAAGTATTTTCATGATTTTTTTTAATGAAATTATCTTTTCATTTAGCTGTACTAACATGATGGAGCGTGAATAAAGTTAATAAAACGTTGTGAAAAGATGTTTTTTTTTTCCTCGGGATCAAATTTATTTGTGACTCATGTGCTAAGGTGTAGTACCTACTATCATCTGGTCTTCATTTACGGGAGCGTTTCACGAACACCCGGTATAGATAGATCGTCAACTATGATCATCTTTATTCATGATTTGATCTAAATTGTATTATTTTCAAAATCAAAACAGTTTTTTAATCTTTTTTTTTAAATACCACTCCGTATAAGTCTGATTTGAAAATAAGTACTTCATTTACCATCTTGTTATTATAGGGCCAATTTTTAGTCGTTATAGTGGTCAAACCGCGAACTCACTTATTATGCTCATTATCAAGAAAGCCCACGTATCGAGACGGGCAACTACGGAGTCCTACCTTTACATTGTGCTTAGCCCGACACGCACTTGGCCAGTTTTTTTTTTTTGTATAAAAAATGGTTTGAAGTAGATTTTGATACGTTGAAGTGGTGCGATATTGTTTATTAAATGTATAATCTGCGCATGTGAACTAATAGTGGAAACGATGAATCAAGTGGTCCGATGATGACGTGAACCTTAAGATAATGTTTTGTTTTGTTTGTTTGTTTAGTAGTAAAAACGTTACCCCACACTAGGATTTTCTCCTGTATCGTGGAGGCAGTTTACAAACATAAATTGCACAAGGACAAACATCCAGTCCCGGAACAATTATTTGTAGGCCATACAAATACTTGTTCCGTGCGGGATTCGAACTCGCGGCCCCCAGCGTTGCAACTCATTGCCAAGCGACTGCGCCACGGAGCCGTCATGTGTCTGCTTAGGCACCTTGAGTTAATGTCGGCACCTTAAACCAGCAGACAGAGGTATACCTCAAAACTTGAAAATAAGATTCTACAACCAGTGCGTGTTGCCAGTGATGACTTATGAATCTGAGATGTGGTCCTTCACTGTTGGCCGCTCAAGGTCGCTCAGCGAGCTATGGAGAGGTCTAATGAAGGAGATGAGGATATCTGCAGTAGAACCAGTAACCGTAACTGTACCGTAACCGACATAGCCCAACGGATTAGTAAGCTGAAGTGGCAACGGGCCGGCCATATGGCTCTAATAACCGACAAGCGATGAGAAAGAAAGGTTTTCGAGTGGCGGCCTCGTAGCGGTAAGTTAAGTGTAAGGAGGCCCCCCACTAGATGGAGTGACGATCTGATAAGACATGCAGAAAGTCAATGGATGCAGGTGGCTCAGGACCGTGTTTTGTGGCATTATTTGAGGGAAGCCTATGTTTAGCAGTAAACTTGTGAAGGGCTGTAATGATGATGATGATGATATAAATATATCATCGTATTAACATATATTACATATTAGGAGGCCGATATTCAGTAGTGGACTTTTAATAGGCTGTTTTGGTTTTGGTTTGATATAGTATTTTGGGTTGCAGCTGCTGACACAGGCTACGATGCGTCTCCGAGGAGAGTACATGAGTCGACAGCAGCGAGCTTGTGACGCACTGGCCAGGAAGACTGCAGCACTCGCAGCATTGGCTTCTCACCACTCCAGCTGGAGGGACGAACTCTTGGTAACTGCCTACCACACACACACTCCACACAAGGACACTCACAACACATAACACGCTCACTTGCGCATGCTTCTGAACTGCCCAGGCCTAGTAATGTAACTCCCGTGGGAGAAGATGACTCGAAAGTGGTCTCTAGGCATCGTGGCAGCACTGCGAGAGTGCTGAGGGCAGCAAGTTCTGCCCCCGGGACGTACTAATAGTGTAACAAAGCGATGGCGGGGCACTTGTTGCGTTCCGAACGGACATCCGTGTGACAGTGACCACTGTGGTCTTTTAGCCAGTAGGAGCCCGGCAAAACCTTTTCGTTGCCACTGAAGCGAAAATTATACATGAGGATTTTCCCCACGAAAAAAAATGCTTCTGGTCCTACTATAAGTGGTGTAGTCACACTGTAGCTATATTATGATTGTAGCACGAATGGGTCGGCACAACCGGGAAGAAATAAAAGAATACCAGCATAAACTACCAACTAAATGCTGCTGTGTTTCATATGATGAGTGTAGAGAACCGGAGACCCTTATTACCGGACATGAGATATTTCATCTTACTCTAGGGTAACAACGCAACTGCATTTTCATTCTTGATTGAAGACAAATGTCTATGGACCATAGCATCCATTTACCATCGGGTGGACTTTGTACGGACGGACGGACGGGCGGACTAGTTGGTCACCCTTATTCTATTAAGAAAATTCTTTCTCACAATCTTATCGAATTACAATAACGTTTAACTGTTGCGACGGAGATTAAATTAAACTCAAATTGCTTGCTAAGAACCTTTACTGTCTCATCTGATGAATATACACTACACTACACAGAGATAATTTTATTAGTGACATTATTCTACGGTGACTATCTAGTGTGACATTCAATAAAAATTATTAAAAAAATTTCTTATTGTACAAAAGGTTTTATATTGCATAATTATATAATGCACTGCAAACAACAGCCATATTTTTATACATAACCTATATCCATTATTCAACTTTTAAATTTTTTATTAATTTTCACCGTTATCTTCCCTATTTCCCGTTCTTGTCATATTTTTTTATAGAAGAGGGGGCAAAAGACCACGTAGCTCCCCTAATGGTAAGTGACTACAGTTACCCTTTAACAGCTGCAACCCAAAGTAATTGAGAGGTGTTTACAAGCCTTTTAAAAAAAGGGTAGACCGGTTCAGAAAAATATGTGGTGGTAGTCTATTCCACAATAAACTTATGTTATGAAAATACTTCTGATAAATTGCAAAGTGTCTCTGGTGGTATGTTTTTTTTTATATAAGATAAGGGTGACAAACGAGCACACAGTCCAACTCATGGTAAATGTGGTTGCTGTGGCCCATAGATATCTACATCTATCCTCGATTACGAATCAAAATGCAGATGCTTTGTCACCCGTGAGGACTAAGATGGAATACCTCGTTTCCAGTAAAAAGGGTCTGCGGTTCTCTACACTCACCATACGAAACACAGCAGCATTAAGCTACTATTTTAGGCTGGTATTCTGTGAGAGCGTGGTCTTTCCCCGGTCCAGCCGACCCATTCGTGCTACAACTATTTTTTTTTTATTTTCTTTGTAAAAACATGAAAAACTATACCAGTAATACAGCTGCAGCATGGCTCTACCACGTTAAAAATGTATGTGACCACTAAAGCCCGTAAACGGCTACAACTAACTTTTTTATTATAGAACTGAAGTGACAAACGATCTTACAATCTACCTGATGGTATATGGCCACTGCAGCCCACGGACACCTGCAGCCTACTCCAAATAAAGAGAGGTCACAGATGAGTTGTTATTTCTGATGGAATTCCTCCATACTGGATCTCTATAACCTTTAACCTTCACACCAGAATAGCGCTGCAAGCACTGCTATTTGACGGCAGAAATAGGTAAGGTTCCTATTCCTATAGGTTATGGTTCCTACCTAAACGGACTCGTAAGTAGGAAAGGAGTCGTATCCCGTGTGATATTTAGTTTTATTTGTTATTTTCACTTTATTTGTTAATTTAGTTTCTCAACTTTTCAACATTCTATTTAGGAAGAGCTAGAGCGAGTCAAGGCGAAGACAGAGTCGTTGAAGCAGAAACGTACGCTGGCTGAAAAACATCAGGAAGACTTGAAGTACAGGTAAATTAAGTTTTTGTTACTTACATCCTAACAGCCTATCACAGACATAAGCCTCCAGCGCCTTGTTATGTAACAACCGAGGAGGGCTATTACTCAGAAATGGGACTGAGACATCGTGATAGCATTGCGAGGGTGCGGGGAGTAATAAGAGCTACCCTTATGACGTGCTAATAATCAAGCGATGGAAGGGACCCTTCGCCTGATGGTGATGTCTACCACCATCACATGATGTAGAAGTCCGGCAAAACCTTTTCGTTGATCACGCAGCGGTAGGTAGCCATCAGGATTTCCCCACGATAAAAAAGCCTTCCCATAGATTTCCTCCTTTGCGGTAAGCCAACGTAGTTTTCTTTATTATTTTAAGTTGTTATGTATAAGATAATGTTGTTCCATCTGTTGATTCAGTGTCTCTGTCACTATTACGACACCCATAGGACGGCATGGGGTAGTGGATTCTCTTATGGTGAAATACACAAACGCTACTCAATTTTAAAATGTTGTTAAGTCTCGTGGTGTCACCTTCACTATAACTTAAAGTGATAGAGATAGCTAGATACAGCTGAGTAACGTTTGAGTATTGGGGAATTACACCACCTGTGGCATTGATGCATTGTTTAGTTAAATTTGAATGTATCCAATACAGGCCACGTCGTCGTCTACACCGTTTGCGTATTACCAATAACAACAAGGGTACCCGTACACCTAATCTGTCATCGGCTGAAGTTTGCTCGGGCGATGATGGCCGAACTCGGACGATCGAATCAAACACTTGTAAAAGAAAGAGAGTGCGTACACAAACACCACCGTCATCGTCCGATAACGCACGAAAACGGCCGATCAACCGTTGAGTCCGAACGTGTTGGGATTTCTCGCCAGATTGCCGGCGTCTATAGTACAAATTGAGTGTATTTATAGTTTAATTTAATCATTCTGTCTTTATTATGTTGTTTCTGTCAGTGTTCTTCCTAAACAACTATGGATGTTGAAAAATTAATTAGTTGTGTTTATAATAGGCAATATAATAGACAATTACAATAATCGACAGGTTTCGAAACGGTTATGGGCTGAAGTTGGTTCGGAAATGGATATAGCGGTTCTAGATATTTAAAAAAATGCGTCTTCACTTTGTTAAGCAACACAGTCAACTACAGAATACCGGCAACGTCCAATGTCGGCACATGTGATACACTGTTGCAGTGTAAGCACATACACGCCCGAGTAACTCTTCCGGGTAGTTCTGTCCGCCATCGGCCGACAAAATCGGTTTTGGTGTACACGTACCGTAATCCTTCAGTCTTTAAGTCTATTCTGCAACTACACTGCAGACAATGTAATCACATTAAAGATGTTAAAAATTAATTTGGTAAGAGATCCGCGTAATAATATTAAATAATGTGTCTTATCTAGTTTAAAAAGCACCTTCGCCCTCCCTCAATTGCGTACACTATCCCCGTCATCAATAACCCCACCACCACTACACTAGGGAAGACACACCACCGTCGATAATACGACACCTGTTTCGCCTCTACACGAGGCGTCCTCGGGTGAAGTAGACCGCGGTGGCTGACCGCTAAGTCACTCACTTATTGAGGGAGGGCGGAAGGTGTTCTTCAAACTAGGTAAGACACATCATTTTATTTTATTGACATCTTTAATATAATTGATTTTCGTAGAGTAAGACCTGATTCTAAAAATGTAATGAGGGTTATAATTGTGGTGGCCACAGACCACTTGTGAGTCACCGAACGTGGGCCACTGCAGCAGATTTGCACCGAGCCTCTAGAGTCGTTAAATCAGTCAGTAGTGGTTACAATAGCTGAGTATAATATGGGTCAGAGACGTGTTCCTTCACTGCTGACCGTATGAGATAACTCAAGGTCGTTCAGCGAGCCATGGAGAGGGCTATGCTCGGCGTTTCTCTGCGTGCGGGGTTCAATCCTATGCTTGAATCTAATTACGAAGTTAACGTAATTCGATTCAAACATAGGAATGAAGATATCCGCAGTAGAACCAGAGTAACTGACATAGCCCATCGGATCAATAAGCTAAAGTGGCAATGTGCCGGCCATATAGCTCGAAGAACCAACCACCAATGGGGAAGAAAGGTTCTCGAGTGGTAGCTTAGTAGCGGTAGGTGAAGTGTACGGCGAGCCGCCCCGCTAGAGGGAGTGACGACCTGGTAAGACATTCAGGAAGTCGATGGATGCAGGTGGCTCAGGATTTAGGGCATTCCATGTGGGTGGCCTATATTTAGGAATGGATAGGTGAAGAATAAAAAATTTAAATTATCGGACATATTGGGAAAGTTCTTGAAAAAAAAATCATGGCTAAATATGATCGTTTTGGTCTGAAGTCGTCGAAGCTTGAATGGTCAAAGATGTTGGAATAATCATAATTCGCCCAAACATCCATAATTATTGGGATTTTATCATTTTATATACCAGTATTTGCAACCCGGGACCACTGGTAAGCTGAAACTATTGAAATCACCTCGGTGTATGTCTTTCACAAAGTTTAGTTTATATTTGTGTAGAATATCATTCAAAAGATCTATAAAACGCCATTTGAAAAGTGTTTAATTTATGATGGCGTGTTTTATTTGTATTGTGAGTTTTGACAAATTATATAATATCTATATTATATCTATACTATACACGTGGTAGAGCCATGCTGCAGCTATATTAGTAGTATAGTTATAGCACGAATGGGTCGGCTCGACCGGGGAGGGACCACGCTCTCGCAGAATACCAGCGTAAAATAGCAACTTAACGGTGTTTTGTTTCGTATAGTGAGTGTAGAGAACCGGAGACCCTTTTTAATAGAAATGAGGCATTCCATCTTAGTCCTCACGGGTGACAACGCATCTGCATTTTGATTTGTATTAGAGGATAGATGTAGATGTCTATGGGTCACAGCAACCACTTACCGTCAGGTAGACTGTGTGCACGTTTGTCACCCTATCCTATAAAAAAAAAACGCGAAGTTTCAACGGGGCCCCCATATATCAAAACTAGCTAGCAGACTTATTCATAACATGTGCTGTAAAAAAAATCTTATCAATATTGAAACAGCTAGACTAGTTCATACTTTAGTTATTTCCATAACATAATGTCGTATGATATTTTGATATGGGGGCACGCGAATAACACTGAAATTATATTTGTATTGCAAAAGCTGCTCTCTTTTTCTCTTCTCTCTTAGAGCGGAGAAATATATGAATAAAAGCCTAAAGGATTACGAAGGAGGTAGGATGTAAATTACAATATGTATCGTCAATTCGCCTACGGGAGAGACTCATGGCTGGCATTGGGCTCTTACAATTTGTTAGAAAAAAGAAAGTTCGATCGCTCTAGGTCGAAGTCTATAACAAACATGTTGTCCGCAGATGTTCAGCGGTGGTAAGAAGCATCCGAGCATCAACGGGTCCCAGTGCCGCAGAACGCGAGCTGCTGGAAGAGCTTCAGCGATACCGACGCCGCGGAGAGGCGCTCTCAGACGAGATCCAGCTGCTGAAGCGACATGCACAACACAACTCCGAGGAGGTACTGCTGCAGTACTCACGTGCTTAATTTTTAATGATTTCTATATACCTAGTCAGGTCATAAATTCTGTCACATGTTTAATATAAAATAATTGAAACAAGTTTATTCATTATGTAACCATTTATATACCAAAATGAACTTAACAAAACATAGATTCTTATGACACTAAAGTTTATTCAAAATGACCTCCGTGAATTTGAATACAGGCCTTCAATCTGCGCGGCCAGTTGTCTATCGCAGGACGAACGAGGTCCATGTCAATATCGGCGGCTGCCTTAATCAATGATGTCTTGAGTGACTCCAAATTGGGATGAGGCTTTGAGCACGCCTTTTCCTCCAAGTGTTGCCATATCTTGTAATCTAACGGATTCAAATCTGGACTGGAGGAGGGCCAGTCTTCGTGCCGGATGAAGTCGATTTCACGCCCCGCCAGCCAGTCTTGTGTGCTCTTCGCTCTATGAGCTGGCGCCGAATCTTGTTGGAATACCCAGTGCCTGTTATTGAACATGGTATGAGAAACAGGTTCCACAAGGTTCGTCAGGACTGTATTTTGATACACAACTGCATTCGTTTTTACACCTTTCTCACCAAAATGTACGTCTGTTAAGCCCCAATAAGAAACTCCCAACCAACTATGAGCGAGAATGGAAAATGACCTCGTTGGACACGCGGAATACGGTTGCTCGCTTCTTCACTACTGTGTGCGTACACCTTATCATTTTGTTTGTTGTAGCTCTCTTCTGCGGTAAAAATTTTTTCATCCGAAAAAAGAATTTCCCGATATTTTTTTCCCGCGTACCGCTTCAACAAAGCGCGGCAATTCTTCAGTCTCAGGTCCATTAGACGAGCATTCAAACGATGTCCTGTTTTTCTTCGATATGCCCGAAGCCCTAAGTCTTCATTTAACACCCTTTTCACCGTGGTTCTACTTAACCCCATCTGAAGGGCCAACAGTTTCTGCTTACGTTTGGGATTTCTTGGAATTCGCGCCTTCACAGCTTTTATCACTGCTGGAGTCCTAACAGACCGAGGGCGACCACTTCTTGACCTGTCATCTACACTAGAGTCTTCATTGTATCGTTTGATGGTACGATAAACGAATCTTTTGATTATATTCAAATGTTTCAGTATGTCAAAAATTTGAATTGGCGCGTAACCGCAACGATGCAACGCAATAACTGCAACACGGTCTTCTTTAAGCGTCGACTCCATATTTAAAAATGAGTAAAATTCTAAAAAGTATACAGTTTTATTTTCTTGAACAATTCGAAATTCGAATTCAATAGACTTTATTGTGGCCAACATTCTAAAAGAAAAGTTTTTACTGTGTGACAATACTTATGACCTGATTATGTATTTACGCGAACACTACACATTGAATAAAACTACTTTTACGGATTTTATCTGAATATATTGGGAATATCGGGAAGTCTGCAGTTTGTGATTATATCCTAGACGGCCCCCCGCCATTACATTAGATTTGATAAACCACAAATTCTCGCGAAAGAACATCGATTCCTGCCAAGGGTGATACTTGAGGCTATTGAAATTAAAAACATCCTAATTTCAATAGAGAGGGAGGCTCGGTACTACCACCTGCTTGGGATCCTGTAATTAATCAAATTAAAACTAAACCCAAGCATACCACTGCAAGACTTTAAGATACAGTAAGTTCATTCTGCGTAGATCGGACCAAAATTAATAATTAACAAAGCTGAAGGTACTCCGGGTTAACTCTGACATCGGGACGTCGATTACCTCAGTCCCCCGTGACCATGGGTGATGAAAAGCACCCGAAACGTCGGCAATTAATAAAAATAAGGAAAATTAGTTAATTAAACGCGATAAAATCCGTAAAAGTAGTTTTATTCAATGCTTAATTTATTTCAACGTTCTACTGCTGGAAATATACATCTCTAAAAAATTGTCAACATTATCAAATTCCCACATCATTCATCCACTACAGCTTTTCAAAAGTCCACTGCTAAATAAATGTCTTCCTCATAAATAACGTTATAGGTACCATATATCCCACAAACTTCATAGTAATATAATATGTATATGCTTTTTATTACATAGAGCATGTATATTATACCCATTTGTAGTTTCACGTGTGCAAAGGCTAAAGCCGTTATTTAGAAACAATCTCGACTTTAAACTATCAATTTGAGTTTAGCTATAATGTTTAAACGAATACGTATTTTATGCAATTTTGTACATGGTACAGCTATGCTGCAGCTCTATATAGTTGCAGCACGTAGGAGGTAAGACTACACTCTCACTAACCAGCGTGAAATAGCGGCATAATGCTCCCGTGTTTTGTATGATGTGTGAAAAACAGAAACATAAACTTTTTTATTCAATTTAGATTGTAAATAATACCTAAGACTAGACATGGGACGAGGTTCGGCCGAGTACCGAGTACTCGGCCTTAATTGTATCCTAGAGAAAATAGACAAAAAGCCAGTTTTTATCATTATTATTATATTAGACACATTAAAACATCAGGAACATGAGAAGCAGCAGAAATATTTAGAACGTACATAAGAAACTATAATAGAAATTATTATTACTAATATTTAAAATTTAAGAGAGGAAGATTGTGATGCAAAAACGCTAGTTTTTCGGCCCTATTTGGGTCTAGTTTGTAAGGGAAATAACCGCACGCCGCCCGCTACCGCTTCTTTTTTAAAGCCGAGTATTCGGCAGAGTACTCGGCCCAATCTAGGCTGAGTACCCGGTGGCCGAGTACTCGGCGAATCGCTACTCGTTCCATGTCTACCTGAGACCCTTTTTACTAGCAACTAGGCATTCTATTGTTTAGTGCCACTATTAATGTCTGGTACATGGCAACACTAGTTACCACTAGCGTCCTCTAGTATCGAGTAGCAGAACTAGAAGAGTCAAGATCCTTCTAGAAATTTCCATGGAAGAAGTTTCTAGAACTATCGACACCTAGTCAATCGGGACCGATATGTACTCGAACATTCTAGATGTTTTTACAGTAGAAGGTTCTGGAAACTATCTGCGACCCCTATATAAGGTCGGTATAGACCGCGACCGAGTCAGTATTAAATTGGCGATACAAGCGAATACGTCAAAGTGATACAACTGCGAACTAAAGTGATCTGTAGTACTCGTACAATTGTTTTGTTAGTAGTGTGGTTTTAAGTTGTAATTAGTGTTCTGTAATTAAAGTGTCAATTTTGGTCATTCAATCAGCAGTTTTTAATTGTCTCGAACCCCAAGCTCGTAACACTATTATAGTCCTTAAGGGCGACAGCGTATGTACATTTCGATTCATAATCGAGGACAGCTTAGATGTCTATGGGCCACAGCATCCACTTACCATGAGGTGGACTGTGTGCTCGTTTGTCACTCTTATTCTATTAAAAGAAAACCTTATTTTCAGTTGAAAAGGTGGCACGAGGAGTACAAGAAGAAAGACACGGCTCTAGGCAAGTCCCATAGCGACACCATATCCTCAATATTACAGCAGCAGTAAGTATTTTTTTTTTGTTTTAATTATCATCTTTAATTTCTTGTCTTTATAGCCTGTAAAAGTCCACTGATATACTGTGGGCCTATGCCGTTATAGATTACCATTTCCATCAGGAGCGGATCTATATATGGGCTTTTTAGCCCCATGGATATTTAAAAGTTTCCCCAGCCCCCATTGAATGCAATAGCTGTCAAAGCTTCAAAAATAATTACGAAGATATTATGAACATTCCATGAGTTTAAGTGGAAATGTGAATGAGAAAGTTAATTTTGAAAAATAGGCACGAAATCATTGAGTTACATGTACTACGTACTAGAGAAGCTATTCCAAACACAAATTGTGCGCTACTCTGTTTTCGCGCATGCGCGGGAAATAGTAGAGTCGCGTATACGCGAAGACTTAATATTAAATATATATATATGAGTATAATATAAAATACTCTTATTTTAATCTAAACAAACATTAAAAAAAACATATTTCTAAATAAAATGTAATAGTAATTATCATAATGAATTCACAAATCTTCAATTTACCCAATATTTAGTTTAGTATAGTTTAGTGACTTGCAGTACAGTTCAGTTGAACATAGTCAATGTTCGGAATGCGAAATCTAGTGCGTAGTACATATTTATCGATGTACGAAATTTATTTAGTAAAGTGACGAAAATCGATACTATTTTTGCGAACAAATTTTATAGAGGATATTTGTGATAGTGACAAATTAATTATGTCGAAAGTCTTTTAATGACATAATTAATTAATACGATAGCAATCGCGTCACAACTTAAAGATATACGAGAAGAAAGCGAAAAGATTTATAAACTAGTGTGGGAGCAGAATACAGACATGACATAAACAAGAGACAGATTACTTAAAATTTTTCAAAATTACTTAAAAAATTATAACGATTGCCTATTTGTTTGAACCCGATGATTTTATCTACTTTCTATAAAATATGTTATCTGGTTAATCGATCACAGTTAAAAAAGCGAATAATTAATGATATTCCCTTTCAATCGAACTGCCAAGTTGCTGACTACAGCACGTATTGTGCGGCTTGACCAGAGAAGAACCACGCTCTCACAGAACACCAGCGTGAAATAGCAGCATATGCTTCTGTTTCGTATGGTTAGTGTAGAGAACCGGATACCCTTTTATGGTGGTAACGAGTCTTTCCATCTTAGTTCTCAGGGGTGATAACGTATCTGAATTTTGATTCTTAATCGAGGATAGATGTGGGTTTCTATAAGCTACAGCATCCACTTACCATCTGGTGGACTTTTATAAGATAAAACAAGACGACGGCCACTACCTACTGCTTATTATGAGGCTTATGATTTTTAACTACAAAAGTTCAAAACTATTACTTGAAAACTGTTTCAGAACCAGTCAAATAGCTTCCCTCATCGAGGAGACGAAACTCCTCAAGGACCAACTGAGCATTGTCTAGTTTTAACAGAACATCCTGTTTACCCGTAAAATTAGACCATAACTTAATTAGTATCTAATTACGCCTATATTTGTAATTAAACTTGAAAAAGTAAACATAGATATAAATACTGTTTTAAATAATTCTTTCCATTAATTGATTGTTCATTTGTAATTAAAAGACTTGTGCAAAGGTTTCTTACAGCATAGCAGTCTGAATCTAAAGTTTTAAAAACAGTATTTTTAAGTAATGCCATATTATAAAAAATAATATAATGATGATCCGATTGTTTTTTTTTTTAATTTTCAATAATTTTAATGTTTATATACCTTTTTTGCCCTACGTACATTTCAAGTGACGCAAAAACCAAGCCACAAATTCTTATTGTAAGATTGTCACGCACACATGCATCCAATATAATTTGCAACCAACAACATGGTTCTAGGTGCATACGTGTGCGACCGGAAGAGAACTTTTACGGGTTGATAAAGAGAGAAAACAAAAAGGGTGCGCGTCAAGCTTTCTTTGTTGATTAGCTTCAAAAAGTTCTGGATTGAGAACTGTCATAAGAGAACAAAATATCAATATACTGTTAATTATCATTGTTGCATGAATAATATATTCACTGAATCACTATTTTACTGTTTGTTAATCAAACAATAAATGAACCAAAATTATGATTGTTAAAGTGTTGATTTCTGATTACTCTGTGTGCTTAAAATTGTTTCTGAACTAAGTATTACAGAGTGGAATGTTACTGATTGTGTCATTTTTCGGAATAAATCGTTATAATAAACCGATGTTTTATTTATACTGAGGCATTATTGTGTATAAGATTAAGACTGCATTTTATAGTGCTGATAAATTCCACGCTCGCACGTACGCACTCCCGCACACACATTTACGCACGTACGTGCACACGCACTCGCGTACACATACGGTCACACACAAAACAAACAAATTAAATTGTAAATGAAAGAGACCTTAAATAAGTGATTCACTCACGCTGTCAAACAACACAAAGATATAGAAAGATTATATGTTTGGAAAAAAAACTACCATGGTGTTGTAAATGGAGGAACTTGATTTTTCGAAAAATGATATGAGGATTTCAAATACACTTAAACGTAATTAAAGTCCGCGTTCCTATAGGACTACAATGGTTATCCGAGTACAGAATCAGTAACTCTGTAAGACATGGTCTTCATATTTTCGAAACTACCGCCACATAGGAAGACGTTTTCAAGCGTGAACAAAACAAAGGTCATGAGTAACGTCCATATCACACCTATGATGTTGCTGAAAACGCTACGCTCGGAAGTTGTTGACGAATATGTTTACCTAACGCAACTTCTTCCGACTATGATTCATTCGACCGAGAGGTCAATCGACTGATTGAACTTGGCTAACACATGTCGTCACGTATATCTCAAAACATCAACTCAGTAATTTAAGACCAGTGTGTTGCCAGTGATGTCATATGGACTTAAGCCGTGGCCGTTCACTACTGGCCGTATGAGAAAGCTCAAGATCTATTGGCGTTTTAGGCTCGGAGTTTCTCTTCGAGATAAAGATATCCTCAGTATACCGGATGAAACTGACATAGCCCAACAGACAAGTTAGCTGAAGTGGCAATGGACGGCCATAATTTATGACATAGAAGAACCCACAACCGACAGGAAAGAAAGGTTCTCGTGTAGCCTGACGAGCAGCCTCGTACTGGCATGAGCAATATTGGTCGGCCTCCACGACATAGAATGACGACCTGGTAAAAGATGCAGGATGACGATGGATGCAGTTGGCTTTAGATCGTGATTTGTGGCATTCCTTGGGAGAGGGTGATGGTCAACAGTGGATTTATAAAGAGCTGTAATAATGATGAAAGCCCATGATATTTCTGGGACTAGATGTTCATTTTCTACCGACTTCAAAAAAGGGCCGGTACTCAATTCGACTGTGTTTTTTTATATGTGTTACCTCATAACTTCTTACTGGGTGAACCAATTTCGATGATTCTTTTTTTATTTGAAATCTGGTGCTTCTGATGTGGTCCCATGTAAATTTGATCAAGATCTGACCAGTAGTTTTTGAGTTATGCTTAATAATTTATATTGAAGTCGGTTGTACAATTTTTTTTTATTTTAAATTATATTTAGTTTTTTTTATAGGATAGGGTGACAAACGAGCACACAGTCCATCTGATGGTAAGTAGTTGCTGTGGCCCATAGACATCTACATTTATCCTCGTTTGCAAATCAAAATGCAGATGCGTTGACACCCGTGAGGATTAAGATGGAATGCCTCTTTTCCAGTAAAAAGGGTCTCCGGTTCTCTACACTCACCATACGAAACATAGCAGTGTTAAGCTGCTATTTGACGCTGGTATTCTGTGTGAGCGTGGTCCTTCCCCGGTCGAGGCGACCCATTCGTGCTACAACTATACTACTAATATAGCTGCAGCATGGCTCTACCACGTACAAATATTATGCAAGGAACCAAATTTCAATCCTCGCCGTCACTACTAAATTTAACAATCGCCATTTTAAGTGGTGATTTACCTGTTCCGAAAGTATTCAGAAGTGAGAGGAAGCCCATTTGGGTCTGCGTACTACCCTCTCACCAAATTCCGCCGTCAAATAGCAGTGCCTGCACTGCTGTGTTCCGATGTGAAGTGTAAAGAGAGCCAGTATAATTACAGGCTTTAAAGCCGCGTCGCCAACAAAGTTTTGTTACCAACTGTTGTGTTGCCAACACGTGTTGCTAAGAAATGTTTCGTAATTACCTAGTGTTCGCAACAAAACTTGAAACAATGTCGGGAACCGTGTTTCCATTTTCGGCGGCAACATCAAAGGAATACGCTTGTTGCAAACATTTGTTCCCTCTGTGGAGACGCTTGTTGGAAACATTTGTCGGCAAAATCGGACACAAATGTTGGTAACTTTTGTTGAGATGTAAACAGTTGGAAACATAAATGGTGTCAACATTTTTGGTGGATACGCTGCTTTAGGCTCCATCATAGTCCTCAGAGGTGACAACACTCTAGCCGTCTTTTTTAAACTTAGCTGCAGGTGACCTTGAGCTGCAGTGGCCACTTACCGTCTAGACTGCTAGTTCATTTATCACTTAATTTAAGTACCAAAATTTACTTTTTAAAATGATAAATAAAAAGAAAAACGCGCATTTATTTTGAAGTATTTTATTGAGATTCTTCTCATAAGTCTTACACAGTGCTATAAAATACACAATTATCAATAATAACAAATTGATCATTTCAATAATAAATGGTTCGCATAAAACGGATACGGATTTCATTTACATCTGAGTATCCCAAGTAGAGTACATGCTTCTATATGAGGAATGTTAAATGATAATCTGCAATATTTTAGCGTCTTTTCAGACCTTTGTATTGTTATTTATTCACTTTATAGAGCTCTCCTCATGCGAAAGAACTCCCCTCCTTTTGCATCACACAGTAACAATATTCCATAATTATCAAAATCTTCGCACTATCCTACAAAATATGCGACCTAACTGTCAAAAATATAAAAAAATCAAGTCTTGGTCTCCGAATGGGTGGTGTAGACCGGGGATCACACGTCGATGAGTGGCCCCCAGAACATTTTGGACACTTTGGTTTCGTCTTCGGTGCAGAAGAATTCCTTACCCAACTTGACGAACTCTTTAAGGGACACTTTGCCGTCCTGTAACAAAAAATTTTAAAAACATAACATAAACATAAACACTCACGCCTGTCACCCAGAGGGGTAGGCAGAGATTATGGACTTCCATTTGGCACGATCCTGACACACCTCTCTCGCTTCCTCCACATCCATATACCTACGCATACACGCTCGTCGGTTAAAGGTACTCTTGATTTGGCCCATTTTAAATATATCGCCAATTTGGTCGATAAACTTTCGCCTAGGGCGACCCTTCCCGACTATGCCGTTCACCTCTGCAACATAAATTTGCTTTGTCACTCTTTCCTCATTCATTCTTTCTACATGGCCAAACCACCGAAGCATTCCTTTCTTAATCCTGGTCACAACATCATCTTGCAAACCACACTCAAAATTTTAAATTTAAAAATATAAAGTTTTAAATTAATTTAGGTATTTACATTATATTTTCTACTTTTAATTTATTTTGTCAAAATATTATTAATTGAAAAATGCTTTGAATATTTTAACGATTACATATATTTAAAAAAAAGTCCTGCTGGGTTTCTTGAAGTTTATAATATGAATTTCAGACGTATGTAAGATTAAAGTAAAAGATTATATTTGATGAGATACTGAGCACACAGCTGGGCATGGACCTGTTTTAGAGAGGATTACGAGTAGGCTAAACTTTACGCTTGGCAAGCAGTTTGACGATCACAATACTAGACCTGTACGCACTTTTGACGTGCTCTCCGTCGCCGATTTGGATACTTTATGTCTGACATAAACGAGATTATTATAACGCTATCTATCAATATATATATATATTGTATATATATATATATATATATATATCTTTATATATATATCTTTATATATAAAATTACGTGTCACGTTGTTTTATTTTTTACAGCTAATTTGAGGAGTTTTTTAGGAAAGCAAATGGTCATCGGAAAGGGCAGAAGAACGTCTGCCTGTTCAGCTAGTATATATATATATATATATATATATCTTTATATATAAAAAGTACGTGTCACGTTGTTTGTCCGCGATGCACTCCTAAACTACTGAACTGATTTCAATGAGATTTTGCACACAGTGTGCATTTTGCTCCAACTTGACAGATAGGATAGTTTTTATTTCGCTAAATGACTCTCAAAATTTTTTTTTGCGAATTTATGGATTTTTATAGGAAGGGTCGTCGGAAATGGCAGAACAACGTCTGCCTAGCGAGCTAGTATATATATATATATATATATATATATATATATATATATATATATACATATATATATATATATATATATATATATATATACATATATATATATGTATATATATATATATATAGCCAGAAGATCTTACTGGTACCGCCCATAGTCAACCTTCACGACATCTATGGGGTAGTGGCTTTGTACGTGGTAGAGCCAAGCTGCAGCTATATTATAGTTGTAGCACGAATGTGTCGGCTCGACAGGGAAAGACCACGCTCTCACAGAGTACCAGCATAAAATAGCAGCTTAATGATTATGTTTCCTATGGTGAGTTTAGAGAACCGGAGACCCTTTTGACTGGAAACGACGCATTCCATCTTAGTTTTCGGGAGTGACAACGCATATGCCTATTGATTCTTAATCGAGGATAAATGTAGATGTCTGTGGACCACAGTATACACTTACCATCAGGTGGACTGTGTGCTCGTTTGTCGTCAGCACTATTCTATAAAAAAAACGGACTGGAGTGATGGATTTTCTTACGGTGACGCCACGCGGAAAATATTTTTATTCATTTTTTTGTATGATAGGGTGACAAACGAGCACACAGTCCACCTGATGGTAAGTGGTTGCTGTGGCCCATAGACACCTACATCTATCCTCGATTACGATTCAAAATGCAGATGCGTGATGACTAAGATGGAATGCCTCATTTCCAGTAAAAAGGGTCTCCGGTTCTCTACACTCACCATACGAAACACAGCAGCATTAAGCTGCTATTTTACGCTGGTATTCTGTGAGAGCGTGGTCTTTCCTCGGTCGAGCCGACCCATTCGTGTTACAACTATACCAGAAATATAGCTGCAGCATGGCTCTACCACGTACACGTCATTCATTAATTACAGGCATAGTTTTTTTATATATAAGAATAAACACACATTATTAAATAAACAAAATTTGTGAAACAAGATGTCGAATGACAACAAAAAATGGCGGACCTACCCCGTTAGTGTCGATGACAGCGAAAGCCACGGCCGCGTGTTCATTATCGAGCCCGAGACACTGGAAAAAGAGTTTGAACTCCTTCACTGATATGTAACCCGACTTGTCCTTGTCTACAGCCTGGAACAAAAATTATTTTTATCAAATACATAAATTTTAAATCTTTATAATATGTATATTCCTCCGAGGTAACAACGCATCTACATTTTGATTCTTAATTAAGGAAAGATGTCTATGGGGCACAGCATCCACTTACCATTAGGTAGTGTGTGCTCGCCTGTCACCTATTCTATAAAAAAAGGTAACAGCAATCAACCTTAAACAAATACGGCAACCAGCGGTGCGCCCTCTTCTTCAGGGACTTGTCGTTGAGCACGTGATGCATGTCCTCCAAGTACTGCTCCACGGTCACGAAGTTGTACGGGTCGATGGCGCCCCATTGCTCTTCCCATGTCATCTAGAAACATGTAGGTAGTTAGAAGTTGATCTCAACCTTTTTAAATTACGGTTGCGTACGGACATTTTCATGTGCGCCAAATGACACATTTCTTGCAATGCAGGGCAGACGGAATCACCAATATACCACATGTACTTGTAGTTACTATTCCTTAACCAAGCTAACTTATCATGGTAAATGCTCCATGAAGACGCCCATGTCAGACTTTACAGGTTCATAAAGAAGGACAGTTTACCGTGTAATGGCGCTGTATAAATATCCACCACCCCATATCGTCCAGTGGCTGTCGTAAGAGATGACAGAAGTAAACAAACTGGGCAAGGAGATGGGCAGCAGGGTCTTACTAATAACCAAAAATAAAAATACTATGGTTGCCAAGCCGCCTGCTAAGCGTGGCAACAGTGGCAAATATCCCCATTTAAGGTTTTTAGCGGGTGCCTGCGTTCAGCAGTGGACTTTAGGCTGATGACGATGAATAAATTTAGAATATTTTTCCGACTGATCACATCTCAAAGAACGGTATTCGTTACCATCATTATTTGACGGCCTCTTGGATCTGGTGGTTGTAAACGCAACTGCTGTTCATCAGATCCTGGGTTCAAATACCGGGTTGGGCAAAAAAAATCAGTTATTGAGTTTTTCTTCAGCAGATAGCAAGGGTTGCTATCTCAAAGTCAAGAAATTAGCGGTGTTTCAGTCCTGTGCCTCGGGAAGCACGTAAAGCAGTTGTTCCTGTGCCTGATCTCTTTCCGGTCGCGTTGTATTACCGTCCCATCAGACTATGACAATGAGTGAAGCGAGAGTGCACTTGTGCTTGCGCATACAGTCTCTGTTGAAACTTGCCGCCGAGTCCAAAATTCGATCATTATTTATTACCAGTACACTAACCTTTATGATATCAATAAACTCCCTCGCCTGCTCGTCATCAAGGTGCCCGAGAGCCTTGAACCTTTCAGCGAAAAGCAGGAAGTCGTTAAAGGAGACCAAGCCGTCTTTGTCAACATCCAGAATGTTGTGAACCGTGCGCATCTTGCGACGCCAAAATTCCGTCTGCAACGAGGAAGCACTTTGTTGTACATATTTATTTCTTACAACCATATCTTGTTCAAGATCAAAATCTCAAAAAATTTAACAAACTCTGGCTTGAATATAATGTATTACTATGCCATTACTGCCTACCAAAAGTTTACGGCTGGACATAGGCCTCCCCCCCATTATATTGCCTCACCATATCACGCCTCCCCCCCCCCCTTAGGTTTTTTGCTATAGCTGCCATACTTGGCAAACGGGTTGGCAACCTCAGCTATTTATATTATCTATCATCTAGTAAAAGATCTAATTATACTATATGTAATTACTATAGTATTGTTTTACTAAAATTCTCACCATTTTAGCTTATCTGTATTAAGTAAATAGATTTGAAATACAAATAAATTTTTTACAACAAACAGAAAGTTTCTTTTTTACAGCTTGCTATAATATGACAAGTAACATGAGTCAAAAACTTACCCTATCAAATCCCTTGCATTCTGTATCCGAGTCGCTCTCACTGTCGGACTCTTTTTTCCTCCTGAGCTCCTCGGGCCTGCCGTGCTGTTTGCTGTAGCACCGCCGCAAGGAGTTGGAGCTCCTCTCTGCCACGTCGTGATTGTCGCGAACCTTGTCTTGCAAGTAGCATACTGTGCCGTTGCAGATCGGCTGCGTATGGATGAGCTGTAAAGAAGAGTGTAGATTTAACGTTTTTTCTTTTTCGTTTAAATCAAACTAGATTATTACACGCCTGATGACAGTAACGGAGTCCTTGTGTAAGAATATCCACTACCTCATATCATGCCGTGAGTGTAAGAAGCAACAGAAGGAAACTGAAGCAGGAATGAGCAACAGCATCTTGATGACAAGCGAAAATAATAAAAAATCTGGGGTTGCCGAACCACCTGTCAAGCGTTGTAACTATGGAAATATCCTATAGACAAATATATATGGGGGAGGCCTATGTTTCGAATATATTCGAATAGAATAGAATCATTTTTATTCTATAAAGGTTAAGGGAATACTTATTGAGTCATTTAAGCTTTACCACTGGTTCGAAAAAAATCTCTGCCCTGGGAAGAACCGGCAAGAAACCCAGCGGGACTTCTTTGTAAAATAATATTAATTTACAATATATTATTTTATATAAATAGCATGAAAACATTTAGAAATAGCATGATAGCGATCATCTTATTCTCCGGGTTTATTAGCAATATATAGGGTGACAAACGAGCACACAGTCCACCTGATGGTAAGTGGTTGCTGTGGCCCATAGACATCTACATCTATCCTCGTTTGCGAATCAAAATGCAGATACGTTGTCAACCATGCGAACTAAGATGGAATGCCTCTTTTCCATTAAATATTTATAATAATTAATAAGCCGTACTAAAAAATGTTTACTTAATAAAAAATTTTACTTTTAAAATTAGCTACAGGTTTAATACGTGGTAGAGCCACGCTGCAGCTATATTATGGTTGTAGCACGATAGGATCGGCTTGACCGGAATAGGACCGCGCTCTCAAGAATACCAGCGTAAAATAGCAGCTTAACGCTGCTGTGTTTCATATGATGAGTGTAGAGAACCGGAGACCCTTTTTACTGGTAACGAAGCATTCCATCTTAGTTCTCAGGAGTGACTACGCATCCGTATTTTGATTATTAATTGAGAATGAATGTAGATATCTATGGGCCACAGCATCCATTTACTATGTGCATGCTATGTGAACTGTGTACTGGTTTGTCACCCTTATTCTATAAAAAAAAACGTGTCTATAGGCTCTAGGTTAATAAAGCCACTTACTATCAGGTGGACTCAGATATTAGGAGTGCGAGTTTGCCAATCACTCATCAAAAAAAAACCCGCAGATACCCATATCAATTGTGGATAAACCGACTTTTTACAAGGTGTTGACATAGAGGTTAGTTATAACCTAAATACCACGGAATATAAAAAACAAGCTAAATACTCTACTTCTAGTTCTACTACTCACTAGTTCTACTGCTGAGCACAGACTTTTCATTTTGAGAGGATAATGGAGCAATTACTTCTTTAATTACTTGACATGTGGAAGAAATCAAATTTTAAGGATTTTATCGCTTTTAATTTTAGCTTTTAAAATCCCCAATGTTTCGGGCAATTTACAGCATCCACGGTTCCCCTCGTGATTAAATGCGATAAAATCCGTAAAATTAGTTTTATTTCATGTGTAGTATTCGCGTAAATATTTTTTTACATGTCCTCAAAATATTTTAATCCTTTACTCAAGATATATTCATTCATTACTACGTGGTAGAGCCATGCTGCAGCTATATTATAGTTGTAGCACGAATGGGTCGGCTCGACCGTGGTAGGACCACGCTCTCACAGAAAACCAGCGTAAAATAGCAGCTTAACGCTGCTGTGTTTCGTATGGTGAGTGTATAGAACCGGAGACCCTTTTTACTGGCAAAGAGGCATTCCATCTTGGTCCTCACGGGTGACAACGCATCTGCATCTTGAGTCTTTATTGAGGATAGATGTAGATGTCTATGGGTCACAGTAACCACTTACCATCAGGTGGACTGTGTGCTCGTTTTTCACCCGATCCTATAAAAAAAAATTCATTTACTGTCAAAAACGTGATAAATCAACATTTAAAATATTTACAATTTCATCGGCGCCTTCGAATCGAACTCGGGTGTCGCGTAGGTAATAATTAATTAATTAAGGTAGTAATAATTAATAATAGTTTACAATAAGTAACAGATCGAATTATTCTTATTAAACAAGACAACAAATATTGTGTGTCCACAGCGTATCTTCGCTTTATCAGTTGAGTCTACGCTGTAAGGTTGAGTCACATTTTAGTGCGTTTATAATTACAAACAGCCGCAGGTTATTTTTAAATTTAGTTCCCTTCCTCTGGAGAAAAAGGGAAAAAGGAAAGTGAAGGATGGTGCCTGTTCAAGTTTACTGGCTGGCCTCGAGACACAAGGGCGACTGGAAGTACAACTACGTCAGTCTTATTGCAATTAGCTATTTATAATTGTATAATGATATGTATGATAAATACTAAATGCAATGATAATGAATAAAAATAAAATTATATAATGCCTTGTATTATTGACGATTGTATTGTATTTTAAAGGGTAGTAGAGTATATATATCTTTATATATAAAAAATACGTATCACATTGTTTGTCCGCGATGAACTCCTAAACTACTGAACTGATTTCAATGAAATTTTGCACACTGTGCAGCTTGGTCCAACTTGAGAGATAGGATAGTTTTTATCCTGATAAGTGACACTCAATATATTTTTATTACGAATTTAAGAATTTTTTTTATATGAAGGGTCGTCGAAAAGGGCAGAACAACGTCTGTCTGGCCAGCTAGTATATATATCTCAGCTAGCATCTTTTTAGCCAGAGGTTTTTTTAAGAGAATAGGATGACAAACGAGCACACATTCCACCTGATGGTAAGTGGTTGCTGTGACCCATAGACATTTAGATCTATCCTGAATAAAGAATCAAAACGCAGATGCCTTGTCACCCGTGAGGACTAAAGGTCACAGCTTATTAGAGCCACCCGGCATCCGACCCTCATCGCCTCGCCTCGAGCGGTTCGTATTCTTCGTACGGATTTGTATAGGCCTGCGCTCACTACATCAACTCCGTAGCATCACCGGATCGCCTCGCTCGCGAGGTGTCCACGCGCGGACAGCGAGTGGTCCACTCGATGATGCTCACTGTTGGCATGCTTGCCTCGCGTGGAGCGCGACCTGGCAACGCGCGGTTCACGCGAGTGCGATGCGGCGCTCTCCACCAACCCATTCATCATTTTCATCATCATCAAGACTGACAGCTATGAGGGCCAATTCACGGATTGTAAAATTTGACATCACTGAACACACGTGCACACATAGGGCCAAACGCTGGTAGACTACTCGGAAATTCGTTGATCACGCGAGGGTCACTCGTTGACGACGCGAGGTTCACTCGTTGACGACGCGAGGTTCACTGGTGACAACGCGGCGTCCACCCGTGGTCCACCTGTCGACTACGAGTGGACGCCTGGCGACGAGGCCGTGAGGGTAGGGTGCCGGGTAGCTCTAATGAGCTGTGACCTTAAGATGGAATGCCTCTTTTCCAGTAAAAAGCGGCTCCGGTTCTCTACACTCACCATACGAAACACAGCAGCGTTAAGCTGCTATTTTACGCTGGTGTTCTGTGAGAGCGTGGTACTTCCCCGGTCGAGCCGACCCATTCGTGCTACAACCATAATATAGCTGCCGCATGGCTCTACCACCTAGTATCATCTATAGTCTACTTTGTTTGAAGTGGGCTGCAGGCTGCAGGTGTCTATCGACTACATTTACCACTTACCTGACTTTGTGTTTGTCACTTCAGATTTATAAAAAGAAAGTACGTGTCCAAGTCTAGTATATAAAAATTTTACATACATACATACATAAACACTCACGCCTGTCACCCAGAGGGGTAGGCAGAGATTATGGACTTCCATTTGGCACGATCCTGACACACCTCTCTCGCTTCCTCCACATCCATATACCTACGCATACACGCTCGTCGGTTAAAGGTACTCTTGATTTGGCCCATTTTTAATATATCGCCAATTTGGTCGATATACTTTCGCCTAAGGCGACCCTTCCCGACAATGCCGTTTATAAAAATTTTGTACAACCGATTTCAATATAAATTTTAAAAATACCTCATACCTCAATCAAATTGATATGGGAACACACGAGAAGCACCAGCTTTCAAATGAAAAAAGAACCATCGAAATCAGTTCACCCAGAAAAAAGTTACGAGGTAACACCAAAAAAAGAACATACAGTCGAATTGAGTACCTCCTCATTTTTGAAGTCGGTAGAAAATGAAGTTTAACACAATACGTTTATTTTACTGTCCATAACGCCACACCTACAATGTATATTAAGTTGACAATGTATAATTTAAAATTTAAAATTTTGTACTGCCAACTTCAATATAAGTTATTAAGAATTACTCAAAAACTATTGGTCTGACTTTGATCAAATTTATATGGGACCACACAAGAAGTACCAGCTTTCAAATAAAAAAAGAATCATCGAAATCGGTTCACCCAGTAAAGAGTTATGAGGTAACACACATAAAAAAACATACAGTCGAATTGAGTACCGTCTCCTTTTTGGAAGTCGGTAGAAAAAGGGCAGAAAATTGGGTCAACGAGTATGATAGAGTAAACCTACCCAACCCTAATGCATAACATTAATTTAAAAAAAGATTATTCAAGTTGACCTTCGTCAATCGTGAACCGTCAATCGTCAAACGTAGGATGAAAGAAGTAATTGCTCCATTATTCTACCAGAAATGAGAGGTCTATGCTCAGCAGTGGGATGTATTTAACTTGTAACTGAAAGATTCTTTGTTAATTCTGAGAGACCTCTGAGATATTGCGTAACATACATATTATAAAAAACATACCTACAACGTCAAATTGTAAGCCTCCTCATTTTTTAATAGTTGGCTAAAAATCACGATGATTTTGTTTTAATGTTGCTTGATATGATAGTTCATAATCATAGTTTAATCTTTAATCTGTGTTATACTTCAATAACTTACTAAAAGCAAAAAGTTTTGAGATAATTTGAATATGAATGAGAAGTGATCCCCGGCTTCGCACGGTTGATTTCTGA